CCGCCCACCGTCGCCAGCTCGAGGGACCGGGGAGCGCCGTAGTCGTCTTCCCGCCCGCTCCCCGGTCCCGGCTCCCTCGTCCCGAGTGCACTTCGAAGTCGCACTCACTCCCGAGTTAGGTGCACGCGCGTCGCATCTGGCGTTACCAGAACTCCCGAGTCTTAGGCTTTCTATTCGGGAGATCTCAGAAATCAGTAAGAACGGAAACCAAGATAATATTAGCGGAGGCCTGAGGCGCTCTCAGCCGTCCTCACCGATTCAGTTACCTAAGGTGGAAGTGTGGATCCCGGGGACACCCGCAGATAGATCCGCCGATCCGCTTTGCAGATCTGTTCCAAACTTTGAAGTCAGCCTGATGGCTGTTTAACTTCGCCATCATACTAGGCTGCGACTGTCTTCCCAGAGCGATACACGCACTACAAGTACATGTTTGTTTGTTTCTCCTAAGAAATTGTGTCTTGGAGAGGTGGCCCAGCAATGAACAGGGCTTCCTTCCCTTGATGAGGACCGGGGTTAGGGTCCCCGTACCCACACGGCAGCTCACAGCGGTCAGCAGCCCCAGTTACAGGGTATCCCGTGCAGTCTTCTGCCCACCCACTCTGCCGGCAACAGGCGTGCATTTGGAGCATCCACACATATGCAGATCAACATGCGCGCAGTTTTTTAAAAAGATTTTAAAGTCTTTTAAACGTGTTATCGCCTCTAGGATTAATATGGCGAGTATTGATGAGTAGTGGTGTTTTGAGTTATTATTTACGCCACCGGGTTTCACCTCCGTGCTTTCACCTTTTGCAAGAAGACAGAAGCCGCCTTTACTGGCTGTTTTCCCAAAAGGGAAACATGAAGGAGTGGGGGGTGGGGGGGAATGCTTGAGAGAAGTAGAAGGGTAAAAGTATGTTGATCCCCAAAACTGAGGCGCACAGAGATAGGACAGATGCCCTGATGGAAGAAAGTCACATTATCAAAGAAGGGCAGGGTCCATAGTGGCGGTGTTAGCCTGAAGTCCCAACTCCTGGAAGCCAGGGAGAGCCCTAGTTACCCGCGCATGTGGGCTGCGTAGCTAATTCTAAGCCAACCTAAGATACACCGCAAGGCCTTATCTCAGAGACAGGATGGAAGGAGAGAGAAGGCAGAGAAAGGAAGAAAACGCTACAATTGCGCCTTCAAGGAACATGCCTTTAGAGGTCCATAAAGTTCTCAACGCGGCCAAAGATTTCTGTAACCAAACGTGGGGGGAGGGGCAGAGAGATCGAAGAGAGGAGCCTTAGAAACAACGCGGCTCTACAATGACCAGCGTGACGTATTGACGTATTTATGAATCATGACATGCTCTCTATAGAGGGTAGTGCTGGCCTGGGAAAGAGAGAGCAGAGAATTAAACTAATTAAGAGATTCAAACAAATTAAGGTCAAGGCTTAAAAGCAACAAACCATAAGATCCCATGTGGAGGTGCTTGGTCCTCCCAGAAACTTAGTCTGCAAAAAATGGTCAGCTACTTTGGGTCTTTTTCTAGATATTTCCATCATGATATATGCACTCCCAACAATCCCTTTATAATAGAATATTTTTTTAAAAAAAGATTAAAGGTGGTAAATATTTGCATTTGTTACAGGTATAGCATGGGAAAGATGGCGAGATAAAGCATGAATTCTGGGCTGGGCATGCAGCCAGTGCTCACCTGGCATGGTCAGTCCCCAGCCCTGAAAGGCAAATCAGCTGTGTGTGCTGACTTCTTGGAGTTCCACAGACACCTTGCTTGACACATTCTGTTTTGAGCCCTGAAGCAAGAAGTCTCAGCACTGGCTGCTCCCCCAGAGGACAGGGTCCAGTCCCATCCCCCACAGGGCAGCTCACAACCATCACAGGGAATCTGACTCTCTTCTGACCCCCAAGATCACCAGGCTTGCATGTGACTCACACATCCATGCATGTTACAAAGCACACCTGGTCACATTAAATAACAGGTAGGCTTGGGGTTTTTGTTTGTTTGTTTGTTTTGTTCCTGCTTTTTGCCCGACCCTAAGCAACTCAGCAGTTCGAGCACTTGGCTATTATTCTTCCATCACAAGCGCCTGAGTTCGGTGCCCAGGATCGAAGTGGACCCTATACAACTCCCTGTGACTCCAGCTCCAGGGGGGTCCAATGCCTGGCTCTGTGGACACCCACACATGTCTGACAATCACTCATACACATAAAGAAAAAATAGAAACGGGTGGGAGCTTGCATCCTTTCTAAGAAGAACAGTATATTTCTGAAGGAATGGCAACCAACATAGATTTGTATTAGGCGCAAATCCTAGGGCGGTTACTAAAAGAGAACGGAGAAGCCAGTAGAAGCTAAGGCTTCCCTCAAGGAGCTTCTTGGTCTGAGTTCATTGTAGCCCCAGCTAGTCTCAGGCTAGCAAGGTCACTTTCTAGTCTTCATACCTGAAGGAGACCCTTTCCACAAGAGTCTCTCCATTTGCTTCACACAGGAAAATACAGGCCCATTGGCCCTGTTTAAGTCAGAGTTCCTCAAGAGATTTCATCTTGTGGTCATCAACACACCAACCCCGCCTAACTGGAGAAGGCACTTAACACCGTGGGAGTCGGCGTGCACCATTGTGTGGTTAGGCGTGGTCTCCGGGTCAAATGTGGTGGTTCACATCTGTAATCCCAGTATTTTGGAAGCTAGGGCAGGAGGATTGCTGCAAGTTAGAGGCCAGCGTGGACTGTAGGGTGAGTTTGAGGACAACCTGGACTAGAAGGTTGGGACCTTATCTCAAAACAAACACATGTGAAAAGAACATTCTCTGTCTGTAATGCTTGTCATCCTGGTGGGAAGACAGATTTAATAGTATATGTCTGTAATGTCAGCACAGGGGAAACTGAGGCAAGAGGACTCTAAATTGATAAATAAATAACCTTGGTTAAACAAAATTGTTGTTGTGTCTTTGTGACTAATTTAAGATTTCAGGCCCCGGGAAATGTTTCTTTTGCTTGTTCCTTCTCTAAGAAGCCATGAATGTCCCACGATGATAACTTTGTTGCCAACAGCTAAGGTATTGGGTCGGAATCTTACAAGCTCTTCCTTTCCAGCATGCATTGCTTTAAACAATGATAGCCACAGCTTCAAGATAGATTTCCAACATCAGGTGCATTGTGAGGCCGATCAAGGTTTACAAGGAGAACCCTTGTAGTCAGAGAGTGCTGAGGGGAGGCCTAGACTCTCATCCTCGGGTATTCAGGGTTGATAGAAGACTAGAGTGAACTCTCTAGGAAAGGGCTGAGGGGCTGCCTTCAGTACTCCCCTTTTCCCTAGTATCTGTCCTTCACCCCAAACCTAGTAAAAGGTCAACCTAAGACTGTGGCATTCACTAGATCCTGGGTTGATCCAAGAGGAAAATTGTCATTGAACTGGTGGGTGCTAAGGTGGAAATGCCAAAGGTAAGGTCCTACCCAATTGTGCCAGCGAGGGGGCCAAATAAGTCTCTGTAGAGACATACTAAGAGTCAATGTCAGAGAGGCAGAGCCAGGCAGATCTCTGTGAGTTAAAGGCCTACAGAGCGAGTTTCAGGACGTAATGAGCCTACAGTACTGCTCAGCCACTAGGTTGGGTAATGTTCAGGTGCGATGCCCCTGGTGGCACACTACCTGGAAAGTAATAGATTTTTCTATAGTCCCGATAATAGGCTTCTCTGGCCACGAGTAAACCAGATCAAGCCAAATTGAAAAACTAGAATAGGTTTATTTGAGCAAATCAACTCCCAGGTGGGTTCTCTAGTCCCAGAGACAGAAGCTGGAGAAGTCACACCCCCAAACTAAAGGAGATTAGTTTATAGGGAGACTATATAGTTTGTAGGCAGGGGATGATGACTTGTCTACCACAAGCTGGGTTTGTGCCCAAGTACAGTAAAAAATTGAATGCTTTAGGTGGGGACGAGGGCTGCTGGTAACTTAGGGGAGGAGCTGCCATAGCCACCAAGAATGCAGAAAGGCAGGAATGGGGCTTCTCAGACCATGCAGGAGCTGCAGGAATGCTGGAGGTTCCAACAGAACAGAAAGAAGCAATGACTACAAAAGTCCTGGACCTGACTTCATCTCCTCCAGGGAAAATCTTTCTCTACTAAGTAGGTTTCTCTTAGCAGTTGTTCCCCCTAGAACTTCATAGATGAGCACCGAAGCTACCCCTCCCATTTCCCTCTCCAGCCCCTCCTTTGCCCCTCCCAAATTAATATCTCTCCTTTAAATATATGTAAATATAGATAATGTGCGAAATCTCTTTACCTTGACCCATATGCACACGAGTCCCGGGCTGACCACGTGGAATTATGGGTAGGTGTATGTGGGAACTCTTCCCCGGAGAAAACTGACTCTTCCTCTCTTGGCAGTCATGGCCCTCTTGTAGCTCATCCTGTCGGAGTGGGAGCACGTGGAATTTCCCTGTCTGTATTGGCATTTCAATCCGTGTGGTGGTTGTGCCATTGTTGTTGAGGCATCTACATTGCTGCAAGTTCATGGGGGCGCTGTCCCTGCTACGTCTAGGGAACGTAATCTCACAGCTGACTTCCAGGACCTCTGGCTCCTATAATCTTTCTGCCCCTGAGCCTTAAGTGTAGGTGCTACATTGCAGGTGTATCTGTAGGGATGGGGGACCCCACAGTTCTTACTCTCTGCATTTTGACTTCGTGGATCTCTACCGTGGTCTCCATCCATTGCAAAAAGGAGCTTCTTTGAGGGGTGGTGAAAGCTATACTTATCTGTGGGTATGAGGATAAATATTTAGAAAACAGTGGGAAATTATATTGGCTTAGGAAGATAGCAGGAGGGTCTCCTCTGGGGTCTACGGCCTCCCCAGTCATGAGTGGTTTTACCGGTTTCCGGTACCAGGCAGGCAATTCTCTCCCATTAAGTGGGACTTAAATCCAATTAGACAGCTGTTGGTTGCTCCCGGGATAAAAGTACCACTATTGCACCATTGTGAACTTCTTGCTAGTTCAGTCATTCCTGTGGTTCATAGGTTTTATAGCTGAGTAGAACTACCAATTGCTCCTCTCCCTTGGTAGCTGACATAGTGTCTTCTGAAACCATAAGAGCCAGGCTTCGGGAAGGCAGCTTCCAGAGCAGTTTCAGCTCTGTTCCTCTAAGGCCTGTATATGGTGTCTTCAGCAAAAGGCTCCTACCTTAAAATTCGGGGAGGCAACCACATTAGCTTGTATTGTTTTGTGGGTCTCTTAGACTCCCTTGTCCGACAGCTCAAAAAGAGGCTCTTTATGCTTGGTACTTGGGATTTTGTTGATAGTCTATGTATGGCTCCTGGCATAAAGTAGTTTAAACTATATATATATATATATATATATATATATGTATATGTATATGTATATGTATATATATAGTATTGTAGATAAACATAAATTATTATTCCTGGTGTCTTTTTCACACATCCTTAGTGTCTTATAGCCTTCCTCTCTCCTCTTCCCTCTCTTACTATACAGGCTTTAAAGGGACACTGGAAGGACGAAATCAGCTTGCTATGTAATTGGCATGTTCTTGTTCAAATGACCAGTTACTGTGTTGAAAACAAGTCATGATTTCAGCCACCTGCCAACGAACAATCGGAGGTCTATTACCCTTAAACAAAAAGATGTTTGTTACAGCCAGACAATGCTGGCAGAGATGAGACCCGCCTTGTGACGGCCTCATCACCACACGTGGCCATTCCTTCCTCCTCCCCCACACCCCCAGAGTAAAGCGTGCTCTATTTGCTTTTCCATATAGAGCAGCTCAGCATTTCTTGAACCAGCTCCTGACTTCCTTATTCATAGAATCAAGCTGTTCTCACTAAAATAAATGCAGTTCCTTCTCTAGTAACAATTCCAGTGTGGGAGAGATGCTTAATCCAACAAAAAAGATGGCCTTGGCAGTTTGTGTGTTTATAACTCTCCTTTGCGGTAAAAACTGATAACGTTCAGAACATTGAAACCCCCACGACCTGTACAGCTGCTTCACTGCAGTTTTGCCCTGGATCCTGGCCCTTCTCGTTCACTGGCGCTTAGGAATTCTCATGCACAAAGTCCGCTCAACCCAACTCAAAACTGGGGGAATAAACAATGCCAAGTTCAAAGCGAGACTGTGGGCGATGGTGCGGCAACACTTCTGCAGGGCAACAGTCTGGGTGCCAGGAACGAGGAAGCTGCCCACTGTTTAAAGCTCTGCAGAGAACGGATGTTCTGCCCCTTGAGAAACGAGTGACCCGGTTTCTATAACTTGTGATGGTAGACTCTGCAGAATGACATCATTTTCCAGTAGCAAGGTATTTGCCACGGGTTTGGAAGGGATCACGTGCCAAAACCATTTCTAAGTCTGATTGAAAGATCCGAGAGTAGGTGTCGGAAGATGGCTTAGTGGGCAAGTGTGGTTGCTATCAAGTCTGATGGCCTGAGTTTGTTTCCCAGAATCCCCTGGTAGAAAAGAGAACCAGCTCCTAAAAGTGGTGCTTTCACCTCCCCCATGCTTCCCAACATGCCATGCCCAGGAAATTTTAAAAATTACACCCCAGAATACTTTTAAGGTTCCCAAGGTTACTGTTAAATTTCAAAATATTTCTCGGCATATTTTAATAATTTTGGTTTCTAAAATATACATGAGCAAGTTGTAATTACAAGGAAAGCAAGATTTAGCTTTGTGTCACCCTTCCAAATTGTAATTCATCCGAAGATTCAGCAATCAATACTGTTTAAACCATGCTGGGCTCTTCCTCGGAAATTATATTTAATTAGCTACTCCATGAACCAGACCTCCAAATAAAATAAGAAGTCACTATTCATGGGCCTATTCATAATTATAAAACAAAAAGCAGATTCTGGGGCTAGAGAGATGGCCCAGAGGTTAAGAGCTGACTGCTCTTCCAGAGGTCCTGAGTTCAATTCCCAGCAACTGCACATTGGCTCATAACTATCTTAAATGAGATTTGGTGCCTTACATGGCAGAACACTGTATATATAATGAAGAAAGAAATATTTTTTAAAAAATGGCCAATTTATGGGACTGATCTATAAATAAAAAGAAGAAGCTGTAGTAGGCGACTTTCTAAAGAATTATTTATTTCCTGTGCACTGGTGTTTTGCCTGCATATATATGAATACATTATATATAATGCATATATATGCATATAATGTGTGTGACGGTGTCAGGTCCTCTGTGAACTGGAACTACAGACAGTTGTGAGCCATCACGTGGGTGCTGGGAATTGAACCAGCGCCCTCTGGAAGAACAGCCAGTGTTCTTAATTGCTGAGCCATCTCTCCAGTCCCTAGTATAAAACTTTTCATTTGTACAAAAAGAAACAGGAAATGGATGCCAAACCTAGAAAGTGGTTGGTCATCAGAGGACGGCTGAGACCCGGAAGAATGAGACATTTGTATAACTTAGTGATAAGGAAGCAAAAGAACAGAACTAGTGTGGATACTTTCAAGATCTTTAACGATACTTTTAAGAGTTGTGTTTGAAAGAGCTAGAACGCTACACACCAGTTTTAGCTTTAATCCCTGGTTGAGCTGGATTTGGATATGTTAACTGACCCTGGAGCCCTACGGCGTGAACAGCTTGGAATGCCACTCAGTGTCCTACCGTTTGTTCGCCGTCCGTCCACTGTGCCATTGACCTCCACGCATGCGCCGTAGAGTGAAACCATCACGTGATGGGTAATTTCGGATGTCAGCTTGACAAGGCCTAGAATCGCCTGGGTAGAGTTTCGGTGAGGGATTGTGTAGATCAGGGTGGACTGCAGGCATGCCTGTGAGGGATTTCCTTAATTAGGGTAATTGGGGTGGAAAGACCAACCCCAAATGTGGGTGACGGCATTCCACGGGCTGCGCCCTGGACTGGATGAAAAGAACAGAGCAGCGCAGCCTGCGGTGTCACACTTGGCTTTTGACTAGGATGCAGTGTGCCTAGACTCTTCCTAAGGTCCTGGTGCCCTTGACTTCCCCCGCCAGGATGGACTACAAGCTTGAACTACAAGCTGAAAGAAGCCCTTTCTCCCCTGTGTTGCTTCTCGTTGGGATATTTTATCCCAACAGCTGGGGGGGAAACCTAAGCCACATCACCCAGTGAAGTCTGTCCACCCACACAGCGGACTCCATCACAAACGTGTGCTGGAAGCTTGTTAAAATAAACTTGTTACAAGACAGGTTAGATCAGTTCAGTTTCAAAGAACACGCTAGCAAGGTCAGGGTCTCTGTTCCCTACCAGCACAGTAAAGTTAAACCTCATTTCTATTTTCATCTGTGAATATTTTATTTAATTTTTATTTATTGGGCGGGGGGTAACACGGGCCACAGCACCCTGGTGGGGGTCAGCGGAAAATGCACAGGAGTTGGCTCTCTTCTTGGATTAAACTCAGTCTTTAGGCTTGACAACACGGGCCCTTACCAGCTGGGCTGGCTCATCAGCACTGTGTCTTCATCTTTACTACACAGCTATGATAACCTTGTTCCCTTTACACACACACACACACACACACACACACACACACACACACACACTGTAAATTCATGAAGCAGTTGAAACTAAAGTATAAAATAAAATCTGTCTTTGAAAAGCGTTTTTTTGATTTAAGAAGTAATGAGTATAGTGGCCCCGTCACCTGCTCCTGGGATGCCGAGGCAGGCCAATCTCTGAGTTCAAGGACAGCCTGGTCTACAAACTGAATTCTAGAGCAGCCAGGTCTATCTATGTAGAGAGAGCCTGTCTCAAGAAGGAAAAAAAAAAGGAAGGAAGGAAGTAAGGAAGGAAGGAAGGAAGGAAGGAAGGACGGAAGGACAGAAGGAAGGACGGAAGGAAGGACTGACGGACAGAAGGAAGGAAGGATGGAAGGAAGGAAGGACAGACGGAAGGAAGGACGGAAGGAGGGAGGGAGGGAAGGAGGGAGGGAGGACAGGAGGGAGGGAGGGAGGGAGGAAGGAAGGAAGGAAGGAAGGAAGGAAGGACGGAAGGAAGGAAGGAGTCACAATGGAACTTTAAAAAGATGGGGATTTCAATAGTCGGACCACTGCTCCTGGTGAGATGCACACGAGGGTAAGATGGGCGAATCTGGACCAAAGAGCTGTGGGCTAGCCTCGAAAACAAAGGGAGTGGGCACAGCAAGAGGACTTGGTGGGTAAGACACCTGCTGCCAAGCCTGATGCTCTGAGTTTGAGTCTTGAAATCCACATGGTGGAGGAGAACTAACTCCTGCCGTTGTTCTCGGACCTCCTCGCGTGCTGCGCATGCAAGCGTCTATCCACATGCACAGGCATGACACAAATAACTATATTCAAAAAAGAACATTTAAAGCTGGGCAGTGGTGGTGCAAGTCTTTAACCCCAGCACTTAGGAGGCAGAGGCAGGTGGACCTTTGTGAGTTCAAGCCCAGCCTGGTCTACAGAGTGAGTTCCAGGACAGCCAGGACTACACTGAGAAACCCTGTCACACACACACACACACACACACACACACACACCCTCAAAAAAGAAAAAAGTTTTTAAAAAAATGTGTTTTGGGGGAAAATAAAACTGTGTTGCACACAGAAATTGCCTCTACTTACAACCTTTGGAAAACACAGGGAGAGAAACAGGACAGTGGGCTGTATTTATGTTCTCCCAGTCATGGGGTGAGCGCACACTGGTAGCCTTGTCACCTAGACTTAGGAACACGCACGTATTTCAAGCCCCTGTTCTGTCTTCCCAGGGTTCCCCTGTGGATTGCTGATATCTGCGAGATGTAGAGCTACTCGGCCGTATCTCGTCTCACTCACTAAAGAGCGGTGGGAACATTTGTCTTCCCAGCTCCTGGGGACGGTGACATGAGCACAGAAATCAGCAAAGGTACACAAATCCCACTTAGTCCGTTCATCCATCCATCCATCCATCCATCCATCCATCCATCCATCCATTCATCTATCCATCCATCCATCCATCCACCCATCCATCCATCTATTTATCCATCCATCCATTAATCTATCCATCCATCCATCCATCCATCCATTCATCTATCCATCCATCTACCCATTCATCCATCTATCCATCCATCCATCCATCCGTCTATCTATCCATCTATCATTTATTTACTATTTCTTGACTTTTATTTATTTTGGTTTTGTTGTTGTTTTGAGACAGAGTCTCTCTACATATCCCTGGCTGTCCTGGAACTAGCTCCTGTTGATCAGGCTGGCCTCAAACTCACAGAGATCCACCCATCTGCCTCTGCCTCATGACTGCTGGGATTAAAGGTGTGCACCACGGCTGTCTGGTTTATCCTTTGAATTTTAAAGTGCAACTCTTCTGTCTTGAAGCTTCTGGAATAGCGTCTCACTGTGTAACGCAGTAGGGCCTCACACTTAGAATCCTCCTGCCTTCCTTTCCTTGCTGCTGGAATTGTAGGCATGTACCACCAACTGGCTGAAATTCTTTTTTTGTTTGCTTGGTTTTGTTTTTATTTTTTTGTTTTTCCGAGACAGGGTTTCTCTGTAGCTTTGGTGCCTGTCCTGGAACTAGCTCTTGTAGACCAGGCTGTCCTCAAACTCACAGAAATCCACCTGCCTCTGACTCCCGAGTGCTGGGATTAAAGGTGTGCCACCACTGCCTGGCTTGGCCGAAATTCTTGTAACACAACCTCCATCCAAACTGGTGAACGCTCCCCGAAGAGTTCTGAAAATTCCCATGAGCCTCATTTTCATTTGTGGCATATCTATTCCACCCTTGTGTCATCCCAGAAGGCAGAGTTCAAGTCCATATCTAGACTTCGTGAAGAATCCCTTAATCCCAAGCGTCACCTATTTCAAACCGCAACCAAAGCCTGGGGAATCATATTGTAAGACTTTAGACAATTCTGAAGCCATTTCTGACAATTCCAAACCCTCTCAGCCTCCGTGCCTTAGTGCTTCCCCTCCTCCCCTGGGAACCAAGGACCTAACAACTACACATGCACGTACTCAGTTCCTGAACAATTACCCATACACGTATGTTTTGACTCAATCCCCTGGGAAACGGGGTCAAAATGACCTTTTACCTCATCTGATCTGACAATAGTTCTCCAGTCAATTATTGGTATTAGCCCTTTTCGAATAAGCCAATCGTAATGGTCAAGGAACAACCCCTCTTGTTTCTATGGGGCCTTCTCCTTTAAAAGTAGACTGTACCAGCTAGTCGGGGTCTCTCGGCTTCCCGAATGCTGAAGGACCCTGTCATGACAGAATTAATAAAATCCTCATGATTTTGCATCGACTGTGGTATATGAGGTGGTTTCTGGGGGCGACTCCTTCTTGGTTTGGACACTAGAGTCCAACAATATCACCGGCATCTAGCATTCCCGTTGCTTTCAGCTTTGCCTCCAGGACACCCTTTCTGGAATACCAAAGTCTTCCCATTGCTTGGTATCCTCCTTTATGTAAGCAGGGAGTTCTCAAAATGCAATCTCGAAACCTGCAGCATCTGCTCCAAACAAAGTGTGTGCAGACTCCTGGGTTGTACCCAAAACCAGTGAGTCAGGAACTCTGGGGGATGGTGGGCAGTGATATGTCTTCATGGGTTAGCCAGAGCAGTTCTGATGTGTACTAAGGTTCTAATCTTCTGCACTAACACCCAGACTTAATCTCTACCCCACGGCTGTCAAGATGGCTCAGCAGGCAGAGGTGATGATTGCCTTCAAGCATCATGACCTGAGTTTGAGTCACAGGTTCCACACGGTAGAGAGCAAGAACCGATCCCCAGAGTGACACGTGGGGCCCAGCCGTCTGAGTTCTGACCTGGATGCACACAGCTCCTCACACTCACATCACACACTTACAAACATAGATAGATAGATAGATAAACAAATGCAATAAAATTGTTTACTCCATATCTGCCAAAGGAACCTTCCCAAAGAGGAATGTCAGCAACACCTACAAAGAAAATATGCCTCTAGCTTGCTTTGCTTCCTTTGTCCATTTGTTTCTTGTTTTTCTTGCTCCTTTTCTCTGACCAAACACTTTCCCTTCCTTGCTATGAAATGCACAGGAGGAACCAGCGCCTAACCATCCCCTTAGCCACACCCTGATCGACAGGGTTGCCAAGCCACTCTCGGTAACCTGGGTGGACCCAGCCTGTGGGGACCTGATAGGCAGGGAAGTCGTGATAGCGCAGCTAGGTCTGCAGGAGCAACAGCATGGGAGGAGAGCGCGTGTGGTATGAACAACAAACACTGGATGCTAAGAAGACAAGACGAATAAAGACCGTCGCTCTGCACCCGGAGACTTTTGACTTACCTTAGAGAAGAAGGGAACAACCAGGAAAGGCAGTGCTGGCAACACAGCACCCACACTGGACGCTAGCAGACTCTGGTCATGGATACATTCTCCATTCCATAGAAGAGACTCCACTCTGTGGAACCTTCAGTTTTCCCAAAATTGGAGCCAGGTCTGGGACTTCTTGAGGCTGAAGTCCCCTGAAAGCACAGCAGGCTTTGCTTGTGACATGCCTTCTACCACCACCTAATCCCTCCCTTTCTCCAAGTCCTTATGCCCCTTGGTGACTGCAGAGACAGGCTCAGCTTCTAATTTCCCTGGCTTGCTTTCTCTGACAATATTCTAACAAGTCTAACTTCCTCTCGAACTTTCTTTCCAGCTAAGACCTTGGATTTCTATTTCCAAGAAAGCAAAACCATCTCTTCTTGAAGCTTTCCTCTACTTCCCGGAAGTGGGCTTTAGCCCATGAGGAGCCCAGTCTCCTCCAAAATACACACTACTCTTCCTCCCACACCCAAGTAGCCCAGAACCAGCTGTGGACACAGATGCTGCCCAGCAATTTGACCTTGTTCCTTAGTTCCTACCGCCAGCAACACCTTAGCCCTAAACTCACTCCATGATGACCTGAGACCACAGGGAGTGATCACATATGTCCTTGGTCCCCTGTAGAAATTCTAAAGAGAACACTACTTCTGCAAGCCAAGGGAGGCTGGTCCTGATGCTGGTTGACTGCTCAACAGGGGTCCTAGGTGTTGCTTGAAATGAGACCTAGTTTGTGCCTATTTGTGGTGCAAGCCTTTAATTTCAGCACTCAGAAAGCAGAGTCAGGCAGACCTCTGTGAGTTCAAGGCCAGTCTGGTCTACAGAGCTAGTTTCAGGACAGGCAAGGCTGTTACACAGTGAAACCCTGTCTCCAAAAGCCAAAAAAAGAAGGAGGGGAGAAGGAGGAGGAGGAGGAGAAGGAGGAGGAGGAGAAGGAGAAGGAAGAAGGGAGGGAAAGAAGAAAGGGGGAAGGAAGGAAGGAAGGAAGGAAGGAAGGAAGGAAGGAAGGAAGGA